GTGTGTGTGTGTGTGTGTGTGTGTGTGTGTGAGAGAGAGAGAGAGAGAGAGAGAGGGAGAGGGAGAGACAGAGTGAGTGTGTGAGATGTGACAGTCACTGCAGTCTGGGCCGAACACTCGAGTTGAGGTTTCTGTCTCACTGATGGAGCCTGTCCCTCCCCCTCGGGTTTTTACCCACCCTTTGTCCCGTTCAGGAACGATCGGAAGCGTTTCATTCCCTGCACACTCCCGATGCACCTCTTCAGCAGCCAATGGTCGGGCGTCATCACTGGCTCCTTTGCCACTTCTAGGGGAATAAAATAGAAAGAGGAGTCAGCGATAGGGAGCGGCCTGCTGGAGTCAAGCCAGTCTGATTAAAGATTCTCCATTCTCTGATTTTGATTTTGAATCTGCAGATCTTTGGGGACATGGGCACAGGGTGGTGCGAGCCAAAGTCTTGGAATTTCTTGGCTGCTGCTCTGCCTCATCATTAAGGCAGACAGTGGCTCAAGAGTGGGTCGGGGTTAATAACTAACTGCAAGTAACTCACCTCCTGACTCCCCAAAGCCTGTCCACCATCGACAAGGCACAAGTCAGGAGTGTGATGGAATACTCCCCACTTGCCTGGATGGGGGCAGCCCCGACAACACTCACGAAGCACGACACCATCCAGGACAAAGCAGCATTGCATCCACAAGCATCCACTCCCTCCACCGCTGATGCTCGGTAGCAGCAATGGGTACAAGATGCACTGGAGAAACTCACCAAAGATTCTTACACAGCACCTTCCAAACCCATGACCACTTCCATCTAGAAGGAAACAGGGAGTCAATGGCCTTGTGGTATTATCAGTTGACCATCAATCCAGAAACTCAGTTAATGTTCTGGGGTTCAAATCCCACCACAGCAAATTCAATTTAAAAAAGAAAATCTGGAATTAAGAGTCTAATGATAATCATGAAACCATTGTCAGCAAAAACCCATCTGGTTCGATAATGTCTGTTAGTGAAAGAAATCTGCTGTCCTTACCTGGTCTGGTCTGCATGTGACTATACAGGCACAGCAATGGGTCGACTCCCAACTGTCCACATTTGGAGTACTGTGTGCAACCCTGGTCACCCTGCTGTAGGAAGGATGTTATTAAACTGGAAATGATGCAAGAAAGATTTACAGGGATGTTACTAAGACTGGAGAGTTTGAGTTATAAGGCGAGACTGAATATGCTGGGACTTTTTTCCCCTGAAGCATCGGAGGGCTGAGGGGTGACCTTATAGAGGTTTATAAAATCATGAGGGGCACAGAGAAGTGAACAGCTGAGGTCTTTTCCCCAGGGTGGGGGAGTCCAAAACTAGAGGGGATAGGTTTAAGGTGAGATGGGAAAGATTTAAAAGGCACCTGAGGGGCAACGTTTTCACGCAGAGGGTGGAATGAGCTGCCAGAGGAAGTGGTAGAGGTGGGTACAATTACATTTAAAAGATATTTGGACAGGTACATGCTAGGAAAGGTTTAGAAGGAAATGGGCCAAATGGGACCAGTTCAATTTAGGAAACCTGGTCAGCATGGATGAAGTGGGCTGAAGGGCCTGTTTCTGTGCTGCATGACTGCATGATTATTAACGTGAACATTGTGCAATCATTGGCAAACATCCCTGGGTTTGTCCTGTGGCCCATCACCCTCCATTGTCCTTTGCAGACTCTCAGCCATCGCCTTAGTGACAACCTCCCCACCTCCCCCCACCGCACCCCCCCCTCCACCCCACTTCATCTAGAACCATCAATTGACTCCGGCAGTGAAGAGAACCCCACTCCCACCCTACCCGTCCCCACCAACTGTGAAATCTCTCCCATTCCTGAGAGGACAGGCTCGGTTCGATTGGACAGAGGGCACCGCTGGCAATGCGGCATTCCTTCTGCACTGCGCCAGCCTACACCACTCACTCACATCTGCGGAGTGGTCCCTGAACTCACAGCTTCCTCACTCACAGCGGCAGACCCCTGGGTTTAAAGGAGAAAGGTAAAATATGATGACAACATCAGAAAAGAAACAAGTTGGAGTCAGTTGCTATTGGTATGTATATTTTTAAAATGCAAAGTTTGAGGCACAAGAAGCTATTTGAGCTTTTCATCAATTTTGACAATGTTTCTGGGGGGGCACGGGTTGATGGTGAATGATTATTATTGAACTTCCTTTTGCACAGTCTATGTCTGGAACGAAAATCTGGCTGGGCTGTATGGTCGCTCCATTGCCCAGTCTCTGAGTTACCGTCTGTCAATGGGAGCTCCCCTCGTTCTCCAGTACTCACCCTTAACCTCACCCTGAGCCGGCTCTTTGGACGGCTCGGTTTCAGCCACATCCACGTTACTTCCGGCACTTCCTGAGCTGGGACTCTCATTGGACAGCTGCAAATCTGGGCTCACATCCGAAGGGTCCTGGGGCACGGGCGTGGACTCTGTAAGGCAGAAGCGTCATGCGTCACACCTCCAGGCTCTTCAGGAGGAAGCGATGGCCAAGCCATATTACCGCGAGACTACTCACTCGGGATACTCAGCTAACGTTTCTGGGGACACAGGTTCGAATCCCACCTCGGCAAATGTTGGGAATTGAGTCCAATAAAAAGAATGTGGAATTAAGAGTCTAGTGATGACCATGAATCTACTGTCGATCATCCAAATTCACTAATGCTCTTTAGGGAAGGAAGCTGCTGGTCTGACCTACAAGTGACTCCAGACCCACCAGTAACGTGGGTGACCCTTAAGTGGCCTCTGGGCAATAAATGCTGGCCTAGCCACAGATGCCCATGTCCTGTGTTATGGACCAGACCAGACCCCCTCAAAATATATTAAGAATGTCGCCTAGACCCTAACTTTTTCTTATTTTAAAGGCAAATATAAAAGTGCTGTGTTCCCGATGTAATGCAACTGGTCAAACTACTCAATGTTAAGCAAAACACAATTTATTTGAACACTATAGTTAAAATACGACCAAGAAGTCTGTGTGGAGTTTACACGTTCTCCCCGTGTCTGCGTGGGTTTCCTCCGGGTGCTCCGGTTTCCTCCCACAGTCCGAAGATGTGCAGGTTAGGTGGATTAGCCAGGCTAAATTGCCCATAGTGCCCAGGGATGTTTAGGTTAGGTGGGTTAGACATGGGGAATGAGTCTGGGTGGGATGCTCTTTGGAGGGGCAGTGTGGACTTGTTAGGCCAAATGGCCTGTTTCCATACTGTAGGGATTCTATGATTCTATGATTCTATGAAAGAGGAATTTAGCATAACTTAACTCTATTGGAAAACCTAAGTGAATAATAGATACAGTAACTATTACTAATTAACTGTTCCACTGTAGTAACATCCCATGAACACACCCCTTGGAAAAGAAATGGAAAATTCAGACACAGATTCTCACATACAATTCTCCAATCCAGGAGGAAAACAAAACCTCAAGAGAAAATTCAGAGACAGTAGTAGCCAGGAGACATTTACTGAAGCTTCCAACTCTTTTGAGACCCCAAAGGCTTCTGATGTTACCCAGAAATTCTGATCTGTGAGAGCTGGCCATACCCATTCGGGCTACATTAAAAACAACCTAAAGCCCCTCCAAGCTGTTTACTCAAGTGGTCGCCAGTAGTGCCTTTCGTTCAATCTTTCTCTTAAAAGAAACCAGGACAAAATACACCTCTTAAAGCTACAGCATTGTCACACTGTGAGTGAATCAAAACACGAAGGGGATCAACCACATGCAAGGTATAAACATGGCTATGAGGGACTCTTGTAGTGCAGTGGTAATATCGCTACCTCCGGACCAAGAGGCCTGGGTTCAAGTTCCAGCTGTTCCAGAGAAGTGTGATAGCATCTCGGAACAGTATCTAAACTCGGTGGATGTCTCATCCAGCATCCACCTCTTTAATACACATGAAGTAAGAACAGAGTGTGACAGTGTCTCATTCCCTGGGTGCTGTAGGTACTGCCGGCACTGCTGGAACTCTACAGAAATACTCAGAACGAAGGAGGGGTCCGGGCTGCGCTCACCTGTAATTTCCTGCAAAGTGACGTCCAGCAGCAACTCACAGAGGACAAAGTGAAGGTACAGGTCTGTCTGCAGGAAGTAAGGCAGACGGTAGTCTACCAACCATTCCACCAGCCCATCCACGCTCTTGCTCTGAAACCAATGACACCACTGAATCAGTCTTTCAATCGGGTGAACCGGTCCAAACAGCTTGCTGGTTACCAGGTACTAGAGTAAACACACGCGACAAACCTGAAGCCTTCTCCAAACACATCTCGGCTCCCTTTTTGGCACCAAGCTCTGGGGAATGATGAATCAGAGAAGGGTGGTGATAGCGGAGAGAGAGACCTCCAACAGGATATTCAAGAGCAACATGTACAACAGACCAAATCTGATTCTCTGAATCCCTGCTCCCCCAAATGCAGCCCCACCATCGACAACATGAAAAGACTGAAGGGAAACTGAATGAGAGAGTTGCTTCAGGTATACAGGGCATTGGTAAGGTTTGCATATGGAATGTTGTGTGCAGGTCTGATCACCATCATCGTACTTACAGGAGGATGCTAACACATTGGAAGCAGTTCAGAGAAGGTTTACTAGACTAATGCCTTAAGAGGAATGGCAAGGCCTATCATAGAATCCCTACAGTGTAGAAAGAGGCCATTCAGCCCATCAAGTCTGCACCTATGCTCCAAAGAGCATCCCACCCAGACCCCCACTCTATCCCTGTAACCTTGCATTTCCCGTGGCTATTCCACCTAGCCTGCACATCCTTGGACACTATGGGCAGTTTAGCAAGGTCAATCCACCCTAACCTGTCCATCTTTGGACTGTGGGAGGAAGCTAGAGCACCTAAAGGAAACCCACACAGACACGGGGAGAATGTGCAAACTCCACACAGACAGTCGCCTGAGGATGGAGTCAAACCTTGGTCCTTGGCGCTGTGAGGCAGCAGTGCTAACCACTGAGCCACCGTGCCCCAGTTTGTCGTATATCTTATACAATTGTATTGCTCAGAGCAGTACAGAGGTAACGCAGGGATCAAAACTGACGAGCAGGACGCAGGATGGCAGGAGAATCTGATTGACTGATGCCCCTTGAGGGATAAATACCGACCAGGGAAGCATGAGAAATAAAACAATTACCAATTTACTCCACCGTCCTTCAAAATACAAAACATCTGTGCATGGGGTTTACAGCTTGGCTTCTGGTAGTTTTCCCAGTTCACTCTAACTCTGAGGCCACACCCAGGCTTAACTAATCAAGCACGGTGAGCTTGGAATTAATTCCCAGACTCCCAATCAAACATGGTTCAACTGAACAGTACATCCAGCCTGGGGCTCAGTCTCCCAGAAAAAATCCCCTGTGTTGCAGCATCAGGAATCCCTCGGGATCTTTCCTGATCGGAGCGCTGCGATTTCAGTGGAGAAACCCATTTATGTGACTCTCCACGAATCCGCTCCTTCCCAATCCCCTCCTGATGTAATTTCCTGCACTTCACCCACATAGGGACTCGCATGAGTGAGCTCAGACATTTTCGGCCAGACCAGCCCTGGATTATATTCATCGGCGCTGCTGATACACAGAAACCATCCCCTTTCCCAACAGTCCAGACAGCATGAGGGTCAGACCCTGCATCCCTTCAAATTATCCTCAGGTCCACTCTGATTTCACCAGAGAGCTCTGTCACAATTTTACCAGAGAGTTCCTTTGAACATCATTCAGAGGCAGGAACCCTGGGCGACTTTACCACTCAGCCTCACTGTCTGGGAGGTTCATATGTCTGCTGTTGCCCCCAAGCCAAAGCAGGAGAGGTTAGCACGTAGCACGGGCTTAACCCGGGGGCCCTTGGAGTCCTGTTTTGACCTCAGTTTCCTCACTGGCTAGCCCAAGAGTGGAGTCACGTTCTATTAAAGTGCTAGACCAGTGCCCACAGCTAGTCCATGTTGCATATTCAACATTGAGAGGTGACACTGGTATCTACATGTGAACCAGGCTTGATCCAGCAGGCCTTTAAACGTCTGTTCCACATTTCAGCTCAGGCTTCCAGTCTTTGCCAAAGATTGGATTATTTTTCTCTGAGCACACGACCAGCTTTAAGCGATGAAGCACAGTGAGCATCAATAGTAAACAGGTGTTACAAACTTGTGCAGAGTGTGTGGTTCCTTGAACAGGTAAAGTGCTTTTCTAAGCTTAGAGATTTATACAGAGAAAACAAAATGTCTGTATGTAGCTGAAGATGTACAGTCAGTTCTAAAATTGAAACATGTATCAATTGGCTGTGTGATTGGAAACCTTGGGTTTGTTTTAATGTTTTGACAACCAGCTTGAATCAGCCAATTAATTTCAACCAAGCACTTAGTGATTGAAAGCCAATTGAATTGAAATCTAATGGTTTTGACAACCTCGGACCAACATTATTGTAAGAAAAGTGATATGTCATCCAAGGTGCATAAGGAGAGGGTTTTTGAAAATGGGTGTGAGAGCGAACCGCCATCTGAGAAATAAGCACCTAGATCTCACAAGAAATCGCTCAACTCTCTAAGAAAGCACCATCTTATCCATAAAAGGCACCACGGCACTTCTAGCTAAGGGTCCTCACAGAGAAAACATCCCTGACAGCAGGATCAGCGAAAGAAAGGCATTTATGACTTGAGAACGGTAGGAGAAAGGCATTTATGACTTGATAGACAGTGGAGATGGCAGAGCATTCCAGAAGACACATTCTGTGTGGACCTTGAGAGACTAAGTTTTAATTTATTTTTTTCTTACTACTTGGGTTATATAAGTAGGACTTGTGTTTATTGGACTGGCATACCAGTAGAATTTTGGTCAGTTAGGGAATAGTTAGGAGTTAGGGGTGAATTGCTCAGTTTGTTAGTAATTCTGTTAATTTGTTCACTGTTAAGGTTAAATAAATAAATTGTTACTTGTTACTTATAAAGTGAATATCAGGGATTTTCTTTCATTTAACTTCCCCTTCTCCATAACATGGGCTCACATTGTCAAACACAGAACAATTTAACCCTACAATAAAATAACCCACTATGGGATGCTGGAGGAGGGTTACTGGACTTGAAAGTATCTCTGTTTCTCTCTGCCAGACATGCTGAATTTCTTCAGCAATTTCTGTTCTTGTGAATTGAACAGTGCAGCCCAGCTCTGGGATTTTGCCCGGCCAGATATCCCATGGGGGTGGGTGTTAGGTACAGGTGGGTATCTGGGCAGAGGGGCTACATATTTTACTGGGAAACACATAGGGTGGGCAATGTCTGACCGTGTGCATGTGTCCTCTGATACAATCACTTTGGGGATTATCACCTTGGACGGCAGGTCAGGCTGGAGTTCCCATCGTTTTTCTTTAAAGACGTACAGCGGGTTCTGTCCAAACACCTGAGAAACAGACAACAAAGTTCATCACTCTTATCATCACTCCCACCAACACTCCCAATGTCCATCACCCCTATCATCATTCCCACTGTCACTCCCAGTGTCCATCACGCCCATCATCACTCCCACCGTCATTCTCACTATACCTCCCAGTGTCCATCACCCCCATCATCATTCCCACCATCATTCCTACTATCCCTCCCAGTGTCCATCACCCCCATCATCATTCCCACCATCATTCCCACTATCCCTCCCAGTGGCCATCACCCCCATCATCATTCCCACCATCATTCCCACTATCCCTCCCAGTGTCCATCATCCCCATCATCATTCCCAGTGTCCATCACCCCCATCGTCATTCCCACCATCGCTCCCAGTGTCCATCACCCCCATCGTCATTCCCACCATCGCTCCCAGTGTCCATCACCCCCATCATCATTCCCACCATCATTCCCACCAACACTCCCAGTGTCCATCATCCCCATCATCATTCCCACTGTCATTTCCACTATCACTCCCAGTGTCCATCACCCCCATTGTCATTCAAAATGTCACACCCACTGTCCATCACTCTCACCATCATAAGAACATTACTCCACCCATCAAACACTCCCAGGACAGTTACAGCACAGGATTAGTCTGATAACCCCTAAAAGTCCCATGGGGAATCGCTAATTAAGATCCCTGTGGAGCTCACGGAGTATAAGTTCCCTTGGGTTATCTCCTGGGTTCAATTCCTGGCCACCACACTTTGCAGGCACTTGTAAATCTTGTAATGTGCAGTGATAATGTCTCTACCTCGAGTCAGGAGACCTGCATTCAAGTCCCACCTGCTCCAGAGATGTGTGATGGCACGTCTGAACAGACTGATTAAAAAATGGAAAGCAGACCCAGGGATATGTCTGCAGGACTGTCTGGCCCAGCTAGGGACTACGCTATGTACGCCATGAAGACTGACTATTTTAGTGTTCAATAATAAATGATCTGCCTTTCTGGTCAGACTTCCCGAGTTATCAACATTGACACAGACAGTAAAGACAAGTTTCGGAAAGCCTTGCCTTGCAATGAATCTGGTTCGACCAGGATGGGGAAATATTGGAAATGCTGCTGTTTGGGAAACTGGAACTTTATGATGTGGGTGTGGAGGATTGGTCCCAGTATCCAGAAAGAATGAGACACTTTTTTCAGGAAAACAAGATAGATGGAGGCCAGCAACAAAAAAATTAAATTCTCCTGCCCACTTATGGGGTCCTGACTTTAAGCATCATAAAAAGATTAATCTGCCCAGCAACCCTTGAGTCAAAATCCTTTGACGAACTGACGGATTTGGTGATGGATCACAATGACCCCAAACCATCTGCAGTGCTGCAGGTTTAACACAGCAAATGGACTTCCTGAGGAAGCAGGCACTGAGTTCTTGACAAGATTGTGGAAACTGGCCCTGCAGGAAATGTTAAACATTTACTTGGTTTGTTGCATTAATAATACGGTGACCCAAAGGAAACTACTAACTGAACCAGATCTGGCCCTTTCCCACAAAAATGCAGAAAGAATGGCTCGGGAACTTCAGGGGCACAGAGACGGTACCACTCTCAAACTTGGGCAACCTCCATAGCTCACAGACTGGTCCCTAGCAGATAATACTTGTACCTCCAGTTTGTTACCAAGGAAGGGCATTTGGAGTTACAGGCCGTAAGGTTCCTGAACTGGGCAGGACGTTCTCTCCACAATGCAGTGAGGAGAAGGAATGTTCATGCTGTACATGTGGTCACAGGGTTCACTACAGGCAAGGCTATGGAAACAGGCGAAACACACACTGGCCAGGCCAAAGGTTGAAGCCACCTCAATAAAGGGCTTTCCAAACAAATCAGCCCGAGGATGAGCAATTGATACAACTAAATCACATCACTGCCCCCAAAGTACCATCAAGATAAAACACCAGGTAAAAGGCCACCCCATAGACATGGAGGTAGACACAGGTACCATTGTATCTATTGCTGGGTAGAAAATCTTTAGGAGACTCCAATGGAATGTCTTGCCTTTAAGGCTGCGAGACTCCAAGTCTAGACTGGCTACATGCACTGGGGAGCCCTTACATATCTTTGGGACAACTGTGACCCCAGTTACACTTTGGCAACAGACAGTCCCACTCCCCTTACAAGTGGGACAAGCACCAAGTCCCAACCTTTTGGGAAGGAACTGGCTACAGAAATTAGAATCATAAAATCCCTACAGTGGAGAAAGAGGCCATTCAGCCCATCGCGTCTGCACTGACCCTCTGAAGAGTATCCTACCAGACCCAATGCCACCCCCATCCTATCCCCATAACCCTGCATTTCCCATGACTAACCAACCTAGCCTACACATCCCTGGACACTATGGGACAATTTAGAACGGCCAATCCACCTATCCAGCATATTTTTGGACTGTAGGAGGAAACCTGAGCATCCGGAGGAAACCTACGCAGAGAACGTGCAAACACCACACAGACAGTTGCCCAAGGTTGGAATTGAATCCAGGCCCCTGGCACTGTGAGGCCACAGTACTAACCACTGAGCCACCATGCTGGATTGGCAACAGGGTTTTAAAATGGGTACCGGCGATCTATATGAGGTCATTGGGAAGCATCCCAAAGTGAGTCAAGAGAGCCTCAAGACAAATGGCACTAGGGCCAAGATCCAGGAGGACCCAAAGGCCTGACCTAAATACTTCAACTCACGACTGATCCCCAATGCCCTCTGTGCCAAAGGAGGGGCCAAACTGGAACAAGTAGAGAAACCGGGCATCGCGCACCCAGTGCAATTTGCTAAATGGGCCGTAACAACTCAGTCCATCTCTGTGTGGATTCTGGGCTGACAGTCAACAGAGATTCCCACTTAGTTAGATATTCTACGTCACACAAAGAGGACTTGTACGAAAAGTTGACTGGGAGTCACATATTTTCTAAGTAGAATATGAGCCATGCCTACCTCCAAGTGGAGGAAGTACGTCATTATATATACACACAAAGAACAGCACGATTACACTCGCTCGTCCTCTAGGGTATCTTTGGCTGGCGCCATCTTTCAAAGGGTAATGAAGACCATTCTCCAAGGGGTGCCCAGAGTGGCACTCCTTCTGGATGATGTTTTAATGTCAGGAGCTACTAAAGGAACATGTGGAGGTGCTGGGAGGACAGAGTACTTCTGGGGCTGGCATTCGGCTAAAAAGGGAAAAACGTGGGAACGTACCTTGGGTACAGAGTCAACAAGGACAGATTACACACTGTCAAAGAGAAGGGGAAAGTAGATAAAGGGACTCCAACTCCAAGGAACACATTCGAGTTGAAGTTTTCCCCAAGTCTCAAAGATTACTACAAACCACATAAGGAACTTCAGTGACAGCTGTCCAGGGTTTCTGGGAGTTATCCTTAAAAATAAACAATGGACCGGTGCCATATGTGGTCAAAACCAGACAGAAGAATGTGGAAAACAGTAGGAAAAGACGTTGACTGTCTCCAGAGAGAACCCCTCACAGAGGTGTTTGTTTTGTAGGACACACCGAAGACAGGACCTTCTGCACAGTCTCTTCAACGGTCTTCACTGGAGAAACATCCATTCCATGCTCCTTGACCAGACCTGGAAAGCAACAAGATTGGGCCATGGGCATAGTAACGCAAGAGGCCCCATCGTCAAAGGAACAAGGGGAATTTTTAAAAAATAACCACGGCAGTGGGGGAAGAAAAACCTTTTGGTTGTGTGTGATAGCACTTCCGGATATATATAAGAAAAAAAGCAGACACAGGGATGGGTCCACAGATCTGTCTATCCCAGGCAGCAATGAGCCTATGTAGATCATAAAGAATCACTCTGTTTTGGGGTTCAACAATAAATAATGTTTCTTTCCAGTTGGGCTTCCTGAATTATTACAGTGGGATACAGAGTAAAGCTTCCTTGACACTGTCCCCATCAAACACTCCCAGGACAGGGGCAGCATGGGGTTAGACAAAAAGTAAAGCTCCCTCTATTCTATTTCCTAATCATCCTGTTCAGAGACGTTATTATGCACCTCTGGATAAGGTGGGGCTTGAATCCAGCTCCCCTAGTCCAGAGGTAGGAACATTGCCACTGCACCAAAAGTTCCCTTTGCCTCCATCGTACGCTCCCAGGACAATTACAGCATGAGGTTTGAAACAGAGTATTTCTCTCCACTGTCATATCAGCACACTGTGAGATACAGGGTACAACTCCCTGTACACTGTTCCCATCAAACACTTGAAATGATCGGTTACCTTATATTGTATTTGAGGCAATGGATGAATGACATTGTTCTGTGTGTCGTAGTACATTGCACTGAAAAGAAACACTTTCTGAATAGTTTAACTTCATGTTGCCATGTGGAAGATGCAGCAGACAGATCCCAGAAAATAGTAAAGACATAATCAGAGGGTCTGTTTCTTGTGGTATTGGTTGAGAGGTGAATATTGGACTGCGGAAACTCAGGAAAATTCTCCTGCTGTCTGTCAGCACCTCAGGATTGTTAACATTGATCAGTCTGACACTGCGTCTGAGAGACAGCTCCTGCAATAGGAGTATACCCTCACATGGGAATGCAGTCAAACCAAAAGTGTTGGAAACAGAGAAGAGCAACAAAACATTAAAAACCAGGAAAGATGGGCACATATGGCGTCATCCATCTAGAAACGCAGCCAGTGTTTCTCCCCACAGCAAGAAGTAGTGAATGAGTTAAGCCTGTACACCCAGAGCTACTCCACAGCAATGCAGATCAGAGCCATCCGATACAGCATCCAGCACTTACCGGCAGGTTCAGGAATGCATTGAGGAAATCCACAAATATGGAGTTTTTCAGCTGTTCCAGAAAACTGGACTGACCTGAAACACAAGCAGAGAATGAAAGCACTGCCACGACAGTGTGGCTCTGGCAGAATCACCACAGACAGAGGGAAACATCGCCTCCAGTTAGCATCCATCACCTTTACCACAAGGTTTCACACAACAGCTCAACACAGAAAAAAAATACAAGGAGTCAAGAAAAGAAAGCAAAGGTCATCAAACTATTCTAGTCTGTAATTCACTCTCAGGTATTTGTTATTCTATAGATAAATCCCCTGAAACCCTTGATTAGATTCCAGACTGTAAATCATTCCCGAGTATCTGTTATTCTCTGTATAAATCCTCCTGAAATCCTTGATTAACTTCCTGTCTGTTGCTCATTCCCAGGTATCTGTTATTCTATATATAAATCCCCTTGAACCCTTCGATTAGATGCAGTGTATAACTCACTCCCTGGTATCTGCTATTCTACATACAAACCACCCCTGAACCTCTTGATTAGTATCTGGTCTGTAACTCAGTCCTGGGTATCTGGTATTCTACATGTAAACCATGCTGAACCTCTCAATAGATTCCAGTCTGTAACTCATTCCTGGGTATCTGTTATTCTACATAGAAACCACCACAAATACCCTTGATTTAATTCCAGACTGTAACTCACTCCCAGGTATCCGTTAATCTATATATAAATCACACTCAACCCCTCGAATAGATTCCAGTCTGTAATGCTCTCCCATGTATCTGTCATTCTATATAGCATTCACACCGAACCCCCTTATTAGATTCCAGTCTGTAACACATTCACAGATATCTGTTATTCTATATATAAACCACCTGATAATCTCAATTAGATTTCAATCTGTAACTTACTCCCAGGTATCAGTTATTCTATGTACAAACATTTATAAATCTCTCAATTAGATTCAAATCTGTAACTCATTCCTAAGTATCAGTTCTGAGGAAGGGTCACTGGACCCAAAACATTAACTCTGAACTTTTCTCTACGGATGCTGCCAGACCTGCTGACCTTTTTCAACAATTTGTTTTTGTTTCTGATTTACAGCATCCGCAGTTCTTTTGGTTTTCCCAGGTATCCGTTATTCTATGTACAAACGTTTCTAAATCTCTCAATTAGATTCCAGTCTGTAATTCACTCCGTTGGATTGATTATTCTGTATACCAATTAGATTCCAGTCTGTAATTAGCTCCCAGATATTTGTTATTCTATGTATAAACCACCACAGTCTCCTCTATAAGATTCCAGTCTGCAACTCACTTGCAGGTGTCTTATTCTATACATAAACCATCCTGAACCCCTTGACTAGATTCCAGTCTCTAACTCACTCCCAGGTACCTGTTATTCTATATATAAACTACCCCAAACCCTTTGATTAGATTCCAATCTGTAACATACCTCCAGGGTTCTGTTATTCTATATGTATCTTCAACCCCTTGATTAGACTCCAGTCTGTTATACATTCCCTGGGATGTTATTTGATATTTACACTATCCCGAATCCCTCCATTAGATATCAGTTTGCAACTCACTCCATGTACAAAACTCCAAACCCACCTGTTAGACTCCAGTCTGCAACACAGTCTAGGATATCCATTATTCTATCTACAAATTGCCCTAAATCCCTCGAATAGATTCCAGTCCGTTACTCTATAAACTGCCCTGAGCCCCTCGTTTAGATTGCAGTCTGTAACTCACTCCGTGGTATCTGTTATTCTATACAAAAACCTTCCCAAACCCCTCAACTAGATTCCAGTCGGTAAATCAGTTTGGAGTATTTATTATTCTAAATATAAACCCCCCCACAAGTCCTAATGGCATTGGGGGTCAACCTGTAGCAGGTGGACTGCAGCGATTCAAGAAAGCAGCTTACCAACATCTTCTCAAGGGCAACGAGGGACAGACAATAAATGCTGCGTCGACCAGTGACACCGACATCCCACAAATGAATATTTTAAAATATGCAATTCAGCATGAACACCTCAAATAGATGCCAGACTGTGTCATCCCCAGATATCTGTTCTTCTTTATTTAAACAGCATCCCAATCCACCCGCCACCCCGCCAAAAACACCTCAATGAGAATCCAGCGTCCACCTCCTGGGTATTTGTTATTCTATATATAATCCACCCCGAAACCCTCAATTAGATTCCAATCAGTAACTCAGTCCTTGTGCCTATTATTCTACGCATGAACTCTCCAATCACCCCGATTAGATTCCAGTCTGTAACTCCCTCCTGAGTATCTGTGATTCTATACGTAAACCACCCCAAACCCTTTGATTAGATTCCAAGACCATATGACCATAGGATAAAGGAGCCTAAAGGAGCCCTGTAATCCTGGATTCCCTTTCCAATCAAGGACCTATCTATAAAAACCGAAAGAACTGTGGATGCTGTAAATCAAAAATAAAAATAAGGTTGCTGGAGAAGCTCAGCAGGTCTGGCAGCATCTGTGAAGGAATAAAACAGAGTTAACAGAGTTAACGTTTTGGGTCCAGTGACCCTTCCTCAGAAAAGGAGGACCAGACCTATCTATCTCTGTCTTAAGTACACTCAATGACTTGGCCTCCACACCCTTCTGCAGCAATGAGGTTCCACAGATTCACCATCCTCTGACTGAAGAAGTTCCTTTTCATCTCAATCCTAAAGGTTGTGCCCTCAGGTCCTATCCTCTCCTACTCATGGAGACATCTCCTCCATATCCACTCGATCCAGGCATCTCAGTATTTTGTAAGTTTCAATCAGATTGACGCCCTTATCCTTCTAAACTCCATCGAGTACAGACCCACAGTCCTCATATGACAAGCCCTTCATCCCCAGGATCATTCTTGTAAACCGCCTCTGGACCCCTTCCAAAGCTAGCACATCCTTCCTTAGATACGAGGTCCAAAACTGCTAACAATATTAAAAAGACAACACAGTGTGGAGCTGGAGGAACACAGCAAGCCAGGCAGCATCAGAAGGGTCCCGACCCAAAACGTCAATTTAGCTGCTCCTCTGATGATGCCCGGCCTGTTGTGTTCCTCCAGCTCCACACTATGTAGTCTCTGACTCCAGCATCTGCAGTTCTTGCTGTCTCACAATATTACAAATGCGGTCTGACCAGGGCCTTATACAACCTCAGCAGTGCATCTCTGCTCTTGTATTCTAGCCCTTTTGAAATCAATGCTAACATGTATTTACCTTCCTAACTGATTCAGGTGCAGCCCGTTCCACTGGAACAGCTCCCTCCTTCCCTCATCTTCCACTTGGGGACCCTGCAGCCCTTCGGACTCAATATCGAGTTCAATAATTTTAGGGCCTAAACTCTCCCATGCCCCAGCCCCCTACCCCACACACTAGGCCTTGTTACCACATAGCCTACCATTACACATCACCTGTTGCTACTCACTAATAGTCCCCATTGACAGCTATTCACCCTCCCAGCCTGATCATTATCAACTCTTTGTCTGTCCATCTGCTCTTATCTTTCTTTGGGCTCTATCCTATAATTTACTCCCTACCCCATTCCCCTCCCTTTTTTCATATAAACTGACGTTTTCCCAGCCACCATCAGTTCTGAGGAAAGGTCACTGGACCTGAAATGTTAACTCTGTTTTTGCCTTCACAGATGCTGCCAGACCTGCTGAGCTTTTCCAGCAAATTTGTCTTTTTTTTCCCCTCCTTTCCCAATAATGGTGCCAATGTCCCATAAATTTAAACCCATTTCTCCCACACCAATCTTTAAGACATGCATTTACCTCTTTAATCTTGTTAACTCTCTGCTAATTTGCTCATAACTCAGGTAGTAATCCGGAGATTATTACGTTTTTGATTCTGCTTTTTAATTTAGCCTCTAGCTGCTCATATTCCTTCAGCAGAATCTTTTTCCTCTTCCCACCAATACGTTGGTACCTACTTGGACCACAACAATGGGATCTCTGCCCTCTCACTCCAAGTTCCTCTGCTGCCCCAGATGAGATATCCTGAACCCTGTCTGTAATTTACTCATGGGTATCTTTCAATCTATATATAAAGCGCTCTGAACCCCTCAATTAGTTTCCAGCCTGTAATTCACTCCTGGGTAGCTGTTAGTCTGTCTATACACCACCCTGAACCCCACGATTAGATTCCAGCCTGTAATTCACTCCTGGGTAGCTGTTACTCTGTACATAAATCACCCTGAACCCCTCGATTAGATTCCAATCTGTAACTCACTCCTGAGTAGGGCTGTTATTCTGTATATAAACCCAATGTATCACTCTGGAAGCAAGTAACTACCCATAAGGGTATCTGATATAAAATCTTCAAGCTTACATCTAAAACCCTTAGGATTCTGCAACACATAAAAACACACACACCTTGTGGGCGAATCTCCTGCTCTCTTTCAGTTTACAGTCAACGTTCTTTTCCAAATCATAGCTGAATACTTTTTTTTCCCAAGCAAGCCAGCTCTCACCCTGGTTAATTGGGGACTGTGGGGGGTGGTGAGGAGTGACCGGTCCCCCAATTCCAACAGAAAGCCCTTGCGGATCTACCGCTTCCAAATCCTCAGTAGCAGCAACAGCCATTTCAAACCGAACCTAAGCTGCAAGATTCAATAAAGCCTGAAGCAGCTCCGGGAATTGAACGCACAGACCAATCCCGTGTCCCTCATTGCGCCTATCATCTTACCTGGTTCCCCCATTTTCGCACTGACGAACTGACTAAGTTACACATAGCCCCCCTCTCCCAACCCCCCACCGAAAGAGGTATCCGTATGGGAGAGGGGAGGGAGGTGGCGTTGAGGCCAGGGATGGGATGGGTGGGCGGAAGGGATTGTTAGTTTATTTCTTTCGTCAGTTTCCGTATTGTGACGATGGGAAACTCAACACCTCACCCCTGGGTTAGGAAATTGCAAACAGGCCTCCTCACCTCCATCAGAAAGCCCCAGGTAGCACCCACCAAAAACGTGTTGAAGTTGCTGTGTCAATCCAACAAGTCCATGTGGGTGGGGTTGGAATGGAAAGAGGCCATTCAGCCGATCAAGTCCGTCCAAAGAGAATCCCACCCAGACCCACACCCCTACCTTATCCTTGTGACCCTGCATTTCCCATGGCTAACCCATCTAGCCTGCACCTCCCTGGACATTATGGGCAATTTAGTATGGCCAGTCCACCCTAACCTGTACATCTTTGAGCTGTGGAAGGTGATCAGAGCACCCAAATGGAACGCACACAGACATCCAAGGCTGGAATCTAACCCAGGCCCTTGGTGCTGTGAGGCAGCAGTGCTAACCATTCAGCCACCAGACTGTGAAGGACTTGCTTTTTACAAACAACCTATACACAAACTGACTGACCTGCAGATTAACCCTCGGTTTAAGCAGCAAATTCCAACTGCACCCCCAACTGTTAGAACTAGGACAGACACAGCACTGAAGGTTGTAGAGCCTAGAAGCACAGTCTTCAGAAATGTCTGCATTGACAGAGATTTGCTAGGGCAAGCTCAGCACTGTCCCATTTACACAAAAACCTGCTGAAAAGCTGAACCACCAAACCTACAACAAAACCTGCCATTTACAAAGCTGCGGTAATATCCAATTCCCATATCCCTGAGAGTCTTGAACTACCGATTCGAGAAATATAAAGCAGTTTTATAAGTTGAAGCTGGATAAGGGGTCCACATATCAGTGGAGGAGCATCTTGTAAACGGTGATCATAACTTTGTTAGATTCAAGACTGTTATGGAAAAGGACAAGCATAGGCTTGAAATCAAAGTTCTCAACTGGGAGAAAGCTGATTTTAATAAGGTCAGATATAATTTAGCCAGAGGACTGGGAGCAGACACTTTCAGGTAAATCTGTCTCAGCACAGTAGAATACAGTTTTAGCAAATATTTGTAGCTCGGATTGTGGGTGAGATTGTTAACTTGCTCACCGAGTTGGCTTGTTCTCGTTCAGACGTTTCGTCACCATGCTAGGTAACATCATCAGTGAGACCTCCAATGAAGCAATGTTGTTCTACTCCACTTGGAATTTATACTGTCCAGTCCGTTATGGTGAGTAGTGTCATTTCCGGTTTTGATCTATATGGGGTCCAATTCTGTGTGTTTGTTGATTGCATTATGGGTGGAGAACCATGCCTCTAGGAATTCCCGTGCGTGTCTGTGTTTGGCTTGGGCTACTATAGTTACATTTTCCCAGTTAAACTGCTGGCCTTCATTGTCCGAGTGTACTGATATTAAGGAGAGTTCATCATGTCATTTTGCTGCTAGATGATGTTCATGTATTCTGATGGCTAGTTTCCTTCCTGTGTGTCCAATGTAGTGTTTGTGGCAGTCGTTGCAACCCGAGCTACAAATCTTTGCGAAAACCTTAAACAACTGTGGGCGCAACACACTAAAAATTGCCCAAAATTGGGAAACCTTCGCCAACTGACTGAGCTCTACCTACGAATAACTTCACTTTCTCCACGGATGCCTCAGGAACCAGTTATTGCCTGACAGCGTGAAGTACAAATCTCCAGTCAACAACCCACAGGCAGATAAAATAGCTGAACAGACCGGACGCAGAATGCTATGAGCAATGATTAATTATGCCCATAACCGACTCTACAAGTACGAATGGGAAATTTCGCGCCAAAAAGCACAGTATCTAAACACTACGGACCAGCAAGGACTACAACCTAGAACAGGCCATCATCATCAAACAACACAGGAACAAAACTAAGAAGAGACACAAGCTACAGGAAAAACTTACCAAACAGATCCACCGCAAAAACAAGGACAACAACAAACTGGACACATGGATAAGGAACCTATCCAGCAAACAATTCAGAAACTGAGAAAGCTGTGCTATTACACTGACTGAACTATAACCACAAAGATGCAAACAGAGCAAACTTCATGTTCACCCTGGAGACTACATTAAAAGACAACAGACTCACGAACAAAACACAACAAGCCATCCGACAAACTATAATTCCCACACTAAACCGAAGGAACAAATGGGACACTCTGAACACATCAGAGAGAAAAGCACTAGATAAACTCAAGAAAGACAAGAACATTATAATCCTACCAGCGGACAAAGGGAGCATAACTGTCATTATGAACAAACTGTCCTATGCTGAGAAAGCACAGGCATTGCTCACAGATACAAACACTTACCAACAGGTGGCGACAGACCCAACACCACAGCTAGGTAATAGGATCACCCAGACACAGAAGAGACTAAAGGATGCAGGACAGATAACCAACACGGACTACATGAGAATGAAACCAGAAGGCATGAACACCCCCCGCTTCTATGAACTGCCTAAAGTACACAAACCAGACATCCCCCTCAGACCCATCGTCTCCCTACTGGGCACACCTTCACACAAACTGGCCAAGGACCTACAACAGAGACTGAAACACCCCATTCCACCCACTCAACCTAAGAATTCCTCAATACCCTCAAGAACATAAAAATCAATGATGATGAGATTATGGTATCCTTTGACGTCACAGCATTATTCACGTCGATTGACATCCAAAGAAACACTGGCCACATTACTAGAGGAAGCAGGAACGCAGACCAGCAGCTCCATTAGCAATGACAATGTACTCAAACTACTAGACTTGTGCTTAACCACACACTCTGTCTTTAATTGTCAAGTATACAAACAGACCGACGGTTCACCAATGGGGTCACCCATCTCGGGACAGATTGCAGAGGCAGTCATGCAAAGACTAGAACATACTACCCTCCCCCTCATTCAACCTAAACTGTGGATCTGGTACATAGACGACATATTTGTCATTATCAAACGCAACAAACTAGAAGAGACCCACCACCTTATCAATAACGTATTCACGGGGACTAAATTCACGAGGGAAGAAGAAAACAACAATCAATTCCTGTTTCTGGACATTAGAGTTGAATGTATGATCAACAGGGAGTTCCAACCTCAGTATACAGGAAAGCAACCCACACTGAACAAATCCTCAACTTCCACAGCAACCACCCCAACGTCCACAAACAAAGCTGCATTAGGACACTAAACACTCCGGAACTACACAGGAAAGAGGAAGAGCACCTATTCAAAATCTTCGCTATGAACGGATATCCCCGCAACTTCATCCGCAGGTGCCTACTAAAAAGACAACAGCAGGAGGACACAGTACGCCCTAACACACTGGCCACACATCAAGAACATATCAGAACTGACAACGAGACTTCTAAGACCACTAGGAATCATGGTGGCCCACAAGCCCACAGCCACTCTACAATAAACACTCAGAAGGATTTAAGACCTCATTCCCACAACATACAGAACCAACGTAGTTTACAAAATACCACGCAATGACTGCCACAAACATACATCGGACAGACAGGAAAGAAACTAGCCATTAGAAAACACAAACATCAGCTAGCAGCAAAACGACACGACGAACTTTCCTTAATTTCGGTACACTCAGACAATGAAGGCCATTAGTTTAACTGGGACAACGTAACTAGAGTAGCCCAAGCCAAACATAGACACGCATAGGGATTCCTAGAGGCACGGTTCTCAACCCATAATGCTATCAACAATCATATAGGAGTAGACCCCCATACACAAACCCATACAGAACAAAACCGGAAATGACAGTACTCACCATAACGGACCAGACCATATAAACTCCGAGGGGAGTAGAACAACATTGCTTCATCAGAGGCCTCACTGATAACGTTGCCCAGCATGGTAATGAAACGTATTGAATGAAAACAAGCCAGCTCGGTGAGCAAGTCAACAACCTCACAGTGGAATACATTCAAGAAGGATATATGGAGAGTACAGGGCTAGCATGTTCCAAAAAAGAGGTTTGGTGGGATCATCAAATCCCACAAACCCTGGATATCATAGGATTTATAGCATTGGATTAAGAGAAAATGGGAGGCTTATCACAGATACTGAGGGCTCAAACAGCAGAATCCTTAGAGAGGTATAGAATGTGCAAGAGGGATCTTAAAAGGGAGATTAGGAGAGCTAAAAAGGGATATGGCAGGTAAAATAAAGGAAAATCCTAAATTCTTTTACAAGTACGTTACTGGTAAAAGGACAACGAGGCAAAGAATAAGGCCCATAAAGGACCAATAGTGGAAATTTGTGCGTGGAACCAGAGGATGTAAGTGGGGTCCTAAGTGAATACTCTGTGTTAGTGTTCACGAGTGAGAGGGACAATATGGGAATGGAAATCAGGAAGAGGGTCTGTCATACTATTAAGTTAGCTAGAAAGAGAGAAGGTTCTGAGTGGTTCCAGCAGGCTTAAGAATAACAGGTAGTGTGTAATGTCAGGCTATGTGGTGACATACTACACTATCTACAGGTTATACACTACCTGTTATTAGTTACTAATAGTCCTCATTAACAACTATTCACCCTCCCAGCCTGATCATTATCAACTGTTTGTCTGTCCAACTGCTCTTCTCTCTCTTTGGGCTCTATCCTATAATTTACTCCCTACCCATCCCCCTCCCATTTTTCTGCATATAAACTGACGTTCTCCCAGCCACCATCAGTTCTGAAGAAGGGTTACCGGACCCGAAACATTAACTCTGTTTTCTCCTTCACAGAGGCTGCCGGACCTGCTGAGCTTTTCCAGAAATTTCTGTTTTTGTTCCTGATTTACAGCATCCGCAGATCTTTCGTTTTTTTATTTGGACAGACTGGGGTTGTTTCCCTTAGAGCAGGGGAGATTGAGAGGGGATATGATTGAGATGTATCTTATGAAGGGCACAGATAGGTAGATAGGGCAGAGAGAAAGGAACTTTTCCCCTT